CTCAGATTGTGAGTCGAGCGCCCTAACCACCTGGCCATGCCGGGCCACATTGATTTTGATTCAGCATTTTTGATAATTGTGTGTGTTTTCCTAACAAAGCCACATCTGGCTATCTACTGTACCCAACAAGTGGAATCGAACCCCTGATTTTAGCGTTGTAAATCCATAGACTTACCGTTGTCCCACCGGGGGACTTTTTGACAGGATATCCATTCATCTAATTCAAAGGCGTCTAACTCTAGGTTACTGTGTGATGTTACTATCATCATGTTTTATTACGTCTTTAAAGAGATATCAGTAACTTGTAGCTGTTGTTTTTTTCTGGACAGGTACATCTTGTGTCCGCTGTTGATATTTACGAAGATGAAGAAGCTCAACTGCTCCTGTCCTATAACCGTATGTTGTTGTTCTATACTCCTGTTGTTGTCCTTCACTTCTTGTGTTTTAACTCTGTTGTTGTTCTGTAATTACGCATAAGCCTTATGGTGTTTTAACTTTTGTTATTGTTCTACAAGTACACGTAACTGTTGTGGTGTTTTAACATTGTTATATTTGCTGAAGTTAATGAAGTAAGTTATATATGATCATCTCTGTTGTGGTGCTTCGTAACTCGTCAGGAAGGTCTTTATGTATTAAAAACAAAACTAACACTATACACAGTATATATTACAAGACAGAACTTGAAAAGCTGTCAGAGTTTCAAACAATTTTTTTTGTTTCGCTGATAATGTAGCATTAAATTGTTCTTTTTACTTATAAATTAGCAGTAAGATTTAAGTCTTATAACATTAAAAGCGGGGTTCGATCCCAGAGTAGACACTAATGACATATCCACTTTCTCTATATGTAAGTAACCACTAATGACATATCCATGTAAGTAACCACTAATGATATATCCATGTAAATAACCACTAATGATATATCCATGTAAATAACCACTAATGACATATCCACTTTCTCAATACTTTAATTGAAACCGCTCTAGGTATTAGATATTTCAAAGATATTTAGATATTTAACTTATCCAAAAAATTAGTAAAATAACTGGCAGTCTTCTTTCTTTGATTCAGATACAACTCATTTTCAAAAATTGTCGGAAGATACGTCTACAGACTTTGACTTCCAGTGGAATGCTGTCCCAGATACTATTGGTATTGTATTTTTTTATTACAATATTAAATCCAAATATTTAAATCCAGTATTCTAAAATACCCCTCATGCAACAGTTTTTGTGGTTAATGCTGTAGTTTTCGTCGCTGTTGTTGTTTTAAGTACTTAGCTGAACACATGTAGTTGCTTAAGATTTTTACGACTCTTTGTTTTATCAAAGATCCTTGTAGATGTAATACCCGAACAGTAAGCTCTATCATTCAACAGACGTTCTTATAAGTGAAACTCAGCCTAATCCTCCTTCACTTCTCTTCTTTGCAAACAAGGCCTGTCCTCGAGCCTGTCAAATTAATCAATTTCGGTTTTCCAGTTATGTATTTTATGATTTATCCTAACACCTGCTCCGTACGGGATTGGGTGTAAAGCAACTTAGAACTAAACAAAGTGTCCAGCTATCGCTGTGTGCAAATGGCCTATTTCACAAAATATATAATGGTGTCAAAACAAAACATCGGTTAATTTATTCCATTGTGGGAGATTCCATTATTCATTTTGTGTGACTTATTACTTAATTGTTTTAATTTATCATAAATATCTAAGACACATAACTGTGAATGGTTGATAAGGAAGCTATTTCTCATCAGTCAACCAATAGCAAATCGTGTGTTTCTCATCAGTCAACCAATAGCAAATCGTGTGTTTTTAGAATTACGGTATATTTTGTTAAAGTCCTGGACATGCACGTACGTGACGGGAGGGGGCTTTCGACCGAACCCCTCTTTTTTGTGATGTAAAGAAATTAGGCTTATGTAGTCATAGCTCAGCTGTTTACGGAATTTAACGTTTTATACATAGTCTACATTCTTCTGATGAGGCATTAGCATTTTGTGGCTTGAAATACTCCCACGCAATGGCTTCTGTCGACACTTTGGAATCCCGAAGCCGTATTGCTACTGTCAGGTTTAAGCTATATTCCATGCAAAATTTCTTCCAGATTTAATCTCATAGCACCCTTTTTTCTCTCTCTCTCTCTCTCTCTGGGGGTCATGCCCCCCAGACTTCCGTAGGATTGTGCTTAGCACAATATGTGTGTTGGCTCTTGATCTCGCAAATTAGAATTCCCCCCTTTCAAACATTCTGCGTACGCGGCTACTGGGATATAGAAATGATGTAACATAAAAGTTATATTTTAATTTATTTAGTGTCATTACTTTCGAAAAATATATATCTGATTAACACAGCAAAGAAAACTGTGGAGTAAATAA